CCCCAAAACCCCAAAACCCCAAAACCCCTATAAAGTTACTAAGAAGGAGTTTATAATATATTTATTAGAAATGGGTAAGATGACATGGGTAGAGGGAGGGTGGGAAAGGGGGGTTTTGGAGGTGGTGGGTGCGTGGTAGCAATTTCTTTCGTTTAGACTGGAGGCTAGAGTGGGATTAAGTGGAAAGCCTTATTGAGGGTTTAAATTAGTCAAGATAGTAATTGAATAATAAGAAATCACAAAGATCTGCAGTTTTAAATGCAGATGGTGTTTGAAAATTTGAAATTTTTTAAATAAGAAGTGTGTATGTTTTATAATGTCTAAAATAATTTTTGACTTACAATACTTAAAAAGCTTCTCTAATATTATAACAATATTTTAAGATACAGTGATCTTCTAAAAATCTCTGTTATAAAATGTAGTACTCACACAAACAAGCTTCTGCTCTTTTAAATATTTTCTCTTATTCTTCCCTAACCCATCATTCATAATCTATCTCCCTCACGCTCACATCTAACACATCCTTTAAATCTGGTTGATTTCTCTCAAACTTCGTTTATTTTGGAAAAATTTATAACTCAAAATTTAGGACCACTCCTTCCAAGATTTTGCCAGAAATATTGGCTTAGGCTGATCTGGCTCCTGATGCTTTCATGAGGTTCGTACTGACTCACAAGTTGTTCGGCAGGAACTTTTGAAGAGCACGGACATTGATTTCAATGCCATGCTTCATGTAAGTTGTGCGATGAGTACGACTCGTGAATTGAGTGAAATGAAGGCTATGTTGATACGGGTGGACAGTTGTGAGAGTACAGAGACTGTGAATATGGGAAGTTCTTCTCCACTCCTTTGAATAGTTGTGAAGAGTGTGGAGATAGCTGAAGGACTTTGTGAGCGTACCAAAGTCATTGCTTTGGATGTTCTTTGGATGAGATTTTGAATTTGAGAGATATGACTTGAGTTGACCAGTGTGATCCAGAGTCACAGATTATGATCAATGATACCCAGCTGCAGTCAATTCCGATTTGAAGAGATTTTGAGTATTATGTAAATGCAAATAGTCAGAGTCCTGTTGAGCTTGGAACTGAGCAGCATCCTTATAAGGATATTCAGTCTGCTTTCACTGAGATCATGAACTTTCACAGTCATTCAGAGAGAAATGTGACTGTGTATGTTTTAGAGGAAACAACAGTATTTGCATCAAGCCCCACTTATTTTGTAAACATGACCCATGTTCAAATGGAAGCCTACAACGATGGTTCTAGCATTAGAAGACTTGCAAGAATGGTAGGAGTTATAGAAAAATCTAAAATTATATCCCCTGCCATGCCTACAAAATTCAGAATTCTTGGTAACTCTGCTTTAATAACTTTCTAGAGAATCATACATTACTTCACAACAAAATGCTTTTTGATAATCCAGGATTTGACAGTGACGACAAAGCTCAGCTACTAATTGAGAATGCTGTGTTCAAACCATTTCATGCTGGGCTTCTAATAAAACATTTTAGACTGACAACTCAGTATGATGATCCGGGGACTGCCCATGCTATATTGGAGCCATACAGAGCTGACACCCGTGTAGTAGGAATGATGGATTGAGATCTTAGAATTCAGGGTACCATCTTGAGAGCCATTACAATAGTGTTCAACTGGCATATGGAAAACATTATATTTGAAACTCAGCATTTGTATAGGCTAAGTTTGACAAGATTGAGATGTGCAGCAGATGGCACAGATATGGGAACCAGAGTTTATTTTAAAAATGTTACATCTATAAACTCTGGAGGGAAGGCTCCATACTTGCACAATCAGCAATCTCTCACTCGAAATTATTTGGCTAATAATGCACACTTCGAAGACTGAAATTTCGATACTTATCTAGGTTTTGATATTGAAATTATTCAATTCATCCTCTATGTATACCCTTTAAATTGTGGAGAACAACCTCACAAGATGTGGAATTTTACTAATTTCCATCTCAAGACTTCGAGAAATGAGCCTGGTAAAAACAGTAATTTTTCACAGACTAATGATATTGCTTTTTGCAGACTCCCGGACCCACAAAGAGATTTGACAGTCTATGTTAATAATTTTACTGTAGAGAATGACTATAATAATAAATTTGGTCATTTAATTGCTTGGTATGCATACAATACTACATTCTATATTAATGGAGCAAATTTCTATAATTCTTCAGGATGGATGATAAATATCATTGCTTCTAAAAATGTTACTATCAACGATGTTCTTTTCGAGAATGTTGATTTAGATTCACCAAATTTATCTTATGTATTAGCGAAGAACAAGGCTACGTTTGATGGAGTTGTTCTCAGAAATGTTACGGATACTAAAGTCTACTCCAACCCTCTATTTCAGAATGTAATAACTGGTGACGCAGAAGTTGCTTTCGCTAATTCTGAGTTTATAAACACCACAATTCTTGATAGAAGAGCTGTGTTTTATGCCTCTGCTTCTTCTAAAAGCACTTTCCTTGTTGAGAACATCCTGACTCAGAATCTTTTATTATACGGAGATACTGCTTTGATTGGATATGGTGTCTTCAAGGAAATCAATTTTACCAATATTTACGCTTACCGAACTTACTCTTATGATGGAGGGTCCAACTTCTTGATCAATAGCGACTACAGTTCGGAAGGGCTAGCTCCAGACAACGTCCAGATATTTAAAGATATTGTGGTTGAGCAATCCTCAGTATCAGTGATCTCCGTGACAAAGCCTGATGCTTTTGTCAATGCCACTCAGTCATTGTCTATATCCAATGTAACTTACAAGGACTCTTCTCTAATTTATGAAATTGATTTGATATGGATATACAAGATGGCAACAGTGGGATCTTATTCTATAGAAATGAATCAGATTACTTTTAAAAATCTGACATTTCAACTTGTATCTAGACTGATGCATTTACAACAGCAATTAAAATCTCAAATCACGATTACTAACTTGACAGTAACTAATGTTGTGCATGCTGGAATAACTGTGCAGGCTTTTGAGTCAAATGATTTTTATAATAAAACTCATGTCAAGTTTGTCAACATGAAGGCTACTAACTTTGATGGTCGTTCAAGGTCTCTCATCAACATTTACAGAGGTGCTGATATTGAGATTGTGAATTCAGAGTTTTCTTTTATTGGAAACTATGATAAGGGATCTGTTCTCTCAGCTGGAAAAGAGCGAGCCATAGCAACTCTAAGGAACTGCACATTCTTCAACAACACTTCAATTGAGGGAGGGGTGTTTGAAACTCAGGCAGAAAGTAATGTTAAATGCTACAATTGAACCTTCTACAACAACTTTGCAATCGCAGGTGGAGTTGTCAAAATTAATGGAGATGGTTCATTTGAATTCTATAATGCAACTATCTACAATAATGTTGCAATGAATGGAGCTATCACTGAATTATTCTCATCTCAACAGCAGAGCATTGTTGATAGTTCCAATATTACAATGAATTATGGAGTATCAAGAGAACAAGTGTTGAATGAAATAATTCAGCAAAGTACCTTATTGTCTAAAATATAGCCTACATTTTTGAGAGTTTCAGAGATTATATAACAACTCATATTTACATTCTTGATGACAGTAAGTTGAACTTTCGTTTATATAAAAGCTTGGAATGATTGCCACTTTCTTTTCAACTTCCATTGAGCGCTCTAAAAAGTTCTTTCACTATAAGGGTAGATTATGATATCCAATAGGAATTTATGTTAAATATCTTCAAGTTTATCGCGAAATTTTGAGAATATAATGAAATACAATTTTAATTTCATTTGTTGTAGCTTTAAGCAAGTGACTTTCACAAGAACTTTAGAATCTTTTATTTTGAATTATCATTTTTTAATTTTATAAAAATGATAAATTGTACGAAAACATTTGTGCTAAACAACTGGTAAACTAATCTTCTTGTATTATATCATTTATCTATTTTATATAGATCCCACTCAGATTAACTTCAAGATAATAATGGGGATATTCCTCATTTCAAACTGCCATTTCACTGATATTCCTGGCCTAATGCATACAACAGGTTCAAGGTTGACTATAAATGATTCAATTTTCAAAAATGTGAACTTCGAAGGTCACTTCTTTGGGATCAGTGAGTCAGACATCTCAATGACGAACAACACATTCACTAACATCACCTGCACAAGCAATGAAATCTTTCATTTCGTGAATGCTTATTTTGAGGTTGACACTTTGACATATACGAACAGTAATTGTAGATTTATCAACTCTGGTCTGTCCCAACTCAATTTAAAAGTAAGTTACTCACTGTTTTCAGAAGAGACTGATTTGGATTTTGGTTTCAAAATTAGTGCACTTTTAAAGTCCTCACTTTTGTAAAACCTAAATAGTTTTAAATCTCCACTGGAAAACATAAAACAGCTGGTTAAAGTTGGATTGATAAATATTGATTTTGGTAATATAGAATGTTGACATATACAATCTCACCCTGAGCTTATCGCTCATGTCTATATTCAGCTCCTTCGCAACAGCTCGGAATAATGAAGGGACTTTGGTTCCAACTTCAATGATATCTTGATCTTTTAAGGACATTAATGTTACAAGCACAGAATTGATAATTGTCAAAAATTCTAATATTTCTGACATAAACCATACAGAATTCACTCAGATTGTCACCCAAGGTGTTGAGTAAGTTGTTGCCCACAAAAGTCATTTAATATTAATATAGGAGCCAAGTTATGAAAATAGTCAATTCAGAGATAACTCATTTCACAAACGTTACTTTGCGCAGGAATAAAAGATGTCTGTATGCGGCTAAGTCAACCATAAGGAGCATTCACAGTTCAAGGTTTGAGGAATGCGGAGAGGCTGATACTTTGGCTGGGGGAGCACTTAAGTTGGTGGATAGTGACTCAGTCGTCTTCAATTCTAGCTTTAGCTATAATAGTGCGAAAGTGGGAGCTAGTGTTAGTGTTGAGTGTAATTTTGCAAGGGTTTGTAGGAATGTGTTTAAGGAGCTTGTGATACAGCATAATGTTGCAGCTGAAATGGGAGGAGGGATATACTATGACTTGTACAGACCAGAAACTGATAGAATTGAGTACTTTAATAATAGTGCCCAATATGGACCTGATATAGCAAGTTATCCTGTAAGGATTGTCCAGTCTTCTACTACAAATAATAAAGTGTATTTGGATGATATTCCGAGTGGTCTGAAATATGAGACACCTCTGAGCTTTGATCTTGTAGACTTTGATGGGCAGGTAATGAATCTCATCAATTCAGTTAACATAAAAATACTTACAAATGATTCAAACCTCTCTGTAAGAGGATCAGATTTTGCAGTAACGAAGAATGGCACAGCAACATTTGATAACCTAATTTTTATTGGTGAGACTGGAATGAAGAACAAAACCTTCAGACTCACATCAGTGAAACTAGATCAACAGATTATTAATCAAGTACTTGACAACTCTGATAAGAAATATACAAACTTTATAGATATTTCATTTAGGTAACTTTTGTTTTAATTTTAGGTACTGAAAACCTGGGGAAATAGAAACTACTTTGAAGCAATGAGACCCTTGAGAGTTTAGAACTTACACTTTTGAATGGAACTCTACAGAGTGCCTTCCTTGAATGGATTATGCCACTTGAATGGGAGAAACTCACATCGATGTTGATGAGGGTTACTGGAGAAAATCTGCCAATTCGTCTCTTATTATTGAATGACTTAATAGAGATGCTTGACTTGGAAATTTTCATCCTGAAAATGAAGGGAGTCCAACTCAGTGCAAGTCAGGCTATCGCGGCTATCTCTGTACTCAGTGAGATATTGTTGATAATATAAAATATCAGCCATTAGCAGATTTTCAGTGTAGCAAATGCCCTAGTCCTGCTCTAAATATGTTCAGGATTATTTTTGTTGCAACATTTGCATTCTTATTTTTATTACTCTTGATTTACATAAATTTGAGAAAAACTAAGGAAAGCAGGATGTCAATTCTTCTTCGTATCTTGACTAATTATATCCATTTAATAACTGTGTCTCTGTCATTTAATGTCAGGATTCCTACTAATTTCACATCAATGTTCTCATTCATGAACAGGATTTCATCTCCAAACGAAACATTCTTCTCCTTCGATTGTTTTGTCAATGACTATGAGATAAAACTGTATGCTCCATCTAACAACTTGTTCAAGACATCTCTATTTATTTTCCTCCCTGTTATTCTGATCTCTGCGATTACTGCATTATTTGGCTGTATAAAACTTGTTCATTTTATCATATTCCTGGTCAAAAGAGACTGATTTGGCAAAGGAGTTATCAGAACTAATTTATTCAATTTTAAGAGATCTCTTGTTGTCTCAATGATATGTATTGTTTTCTTGTTCCATCCTGCTTTTACAGTCAAATCACTATCGATGCTCTTATGCACTAGAATTGATGAAAATGATTCAAGAATGACTTATCACATGGAATACACTTGTTATTCATGGAATCATATCAAATGGGTTTTGGTGATTTCAGTCCCCCTCCTGGTTATTTGGGTAATTGGATTGCCTATGGTCGCTCTCTGGATTCTCATCAAATACAGGCACAAACTCGATCGACCTGAAATGCAAAGCTATTTTCTCATCCTCTATCAAGGTTTCCGACAGAAAACTTTCTATTGGGAATTTGTAAACTCATTCAAAAAGTTTGCTATCTTGGCAATAATTGCCTTCCTCAACACTTTCCCTGCTGCTTATAAGATATTTGTGTCGGTAATATCCCTCCTAATCTTCTACCGATTCCAATCAAATATGAAGCCATTCAAGTATGATCCTTACAACAGACTAGACTTGGTCTCATTGACCGTTGCAATAATCACAATATTTTCTAGTATAGTGTTTGTGCTTGGATACAAAGGCAGCTTTAACTTACACATGGTGGTTCTCTTGTTCATATTCGGAGCCAACCTATATTTCCTACTAAGGTGGCTGTACCTGGTTATGATACTTCTTAAGTGGAAGAACTCATGGTATTTGTGCCTGCTTAAGACTCTGAGGATAGTTATAGCAGAAAAAGTTTATTATGGGCTTGAAGATGAGAACAGTGAACATGGCAATGTATTTGGTAAGGATATGGGCATGCAAGCCAAGATCAAGAAGAGAAGAGTCTTGGTTAGTAAGAAGAGTAAGTGGATTGGTGGTAGTTTAGAGGCGTTGGGGATGTGTGGAGGTGAGGTTTTTTAGAAGTAAGATAAAAAAGGTTGGGAGTTTTAGTTTTGGGAATAGTTGAGAGGATGTATCTTAATTGTATAGATAAAATGAGAAAGAAAGCTTTTAAAAAGAGGAAAAAGAAGACAGTTAATAGACGTTATAAGCATCCAGTTCATGGCAAGTTTTTTCAATTACTTTTGTAGAAGAAAGTGTTAATATCGATAGTCCCAAACTAGAGTTAAGCAATCAGTAAGTCCCCATTCTTAGTTCATAGGGATATTGATGACTTTTTCAAAATCAGTTCTTTCAGACAGAAGAAAGAAAATCCAAACATCAATGTTATTGAACCTCCAAATACAGGCTCCAGGTTTATAAAGCCTGTTGTCTGGGAAGAATAAATAGACTCTCCCCAACAGCTGATATTAAATTGCCTGAATCAAAAATATGAATAATTTTACACAATATTTGCGTTCTCTGGCAATTCGAAAAAGTTGTAAACTCTCTTAATAGTTTCATTGTTCTGACTCACAAAATTCTAGCACAGTTTTGTAATTGGAAAAGTATCTTGAAAGGTGGGATCAACAAGTTAAAATTTATTAAATATCAAGCCTTGATAATAGCTAATTAATGCACCGAATACAGTAATCCTGATTTATACTAATCGCTTGTCATAAACTCTTAGAAGTTGCTTAGGATGATCCTACTAGTTCATTTAGGGACCTGTGTTAGGCAACCAAACTTAATTCTCTTATAAAAGTAAGATATCTTTACAGGTTGAGGTAAAGCTCCAAGGTATCTCCTTTCAAAATATGAAAAAATCCTAGCACCTTTTAAAGTGTTGATATTCAAATTTTATTTATTATGCCTTTATCATATAAAACTTAATAAGTCATTTATTATGGTAAAATTGTTGTTTAAAAAAGATTAATTATGAAATTAATGAAGAATTCAACTGTGCAGTAGTCCCTCGGGGTTTTGGGGTTTTGGGGTTTTGGGGTTTTGGGG